TTGAAAAATATGTCGCTTACGTTATTTTGGCGGTTAGGGCTCGATATGTTTGAACTCATTTAAGTTCTGAGCACATTGAAAACGACGAGCCTCCAATTTGTTATCTTCATTATCTAAACGCTTTGTCGATGACGACATGACTTTTTTGAACGCGGCAGCGATATCATGAATTTGTATGAGTTTGACATAAAAGAAGAAGAAGAACCTTATCTGTCGCTGGAAAAATAGAAATAGATCTAATCTGGCCACAACGACAACGCGTAGCCCGGTCGTCGCCAAAATATATATCTACATAAGAGTACGTGTGGTCCGTAGCTCGTCGTTTACTTGCATTTTCGGTTTACATTTTAATAAAAACACCCATATCATTGTGCAGTTCCATAAGTAACGTAACTCTTCTTCTTACCGTTTTACCTGACAGGCTGTAGGTGTGTTTTTGGTTCCGTGTGCTAGTGCATTTTGAAAAAATTGTAATAGAAATGGAAGAAATTGTAAAAGATAAGAGCAAATGCCAAAAAAACAGGCGTTTTATAAACGTTCTCTGCTTTGTCGACGAGTGGTATATTTGCTCGACATCTCCTCAAAATTTTTGCGCAACAAAAACGGTCACTGGAAATGCGCCTTCTCATTTTTAAACGTTCTCTGGTACTGATCTATATTCGGTACCGATTTAAAAAGTATCCAATACTCTCGATACTCGGTACCGAAACATTTAGGTTTCGAATAAAAGCGCACATAGGCCACAAATATGAAAAAAAAACGGTTCAGGGGAGACTCGCCTATAAAAACCCGAATGTAGGAGCCAATAGAGCTTTTAATACGGATTCAAATGAAAGATGTATATATGTCGGTTCGAGACCATAATGCAGACACTCTTACTTGTTTGAAGGATTTTTGTTCCAGCTGTCGCTAACTGGTTACAGAATCTCCCCCCTGAAAGGCTTCTTCACCCGTAAAAGCATTTTTCTTGAAACTTGGATCATCTAAGATTAAGACTGATAAAATAATATTTCTCTGTTGCGATAAGTTCAAGTGTTTTAGCCGATATCATATAAATAACTAATTAAAGTTTTTTCTAAACTTGAAATGCATATAAAGGCGAAAGTTTAATGTAAATAATCGGTATCGGGTACCGAAAAGGAAGTATTGGGTACCGAAAATTCAGCACATCACTAGCTGTTTCACAAATTCTGGGGACGAAATGTGGTTTTTTGCGTTCCCGTACTTCTGGATTATGTTCCATTTGGGGCTGTCCATATATTACGTAAGGGAGTTTTCGCCTGTTTTGAATACCCCCCCCCCCCTTCCCTCACTTAATAAATTGTAAGATTTAATTAATCCCCCTCCCCGCGCTGCAGATCTTACGTAAGGTTAAAAATCCCCTAGACATGTTTTTTCAATTAAACATTAGAAAATACTATATAATTCCATCAAACAAATATAGGATGTATGCCTAGTCAGTCTTAAAAACTTCATTACATAGTTATACTAGTCATTCTTTGTTGTCGGTTTCTTTGGTCCACGGTCCAGCCAGGCAATCTGAAAGAGGAGTAGCCACAGCGATAACTCGTACTTCTTTTTCACTCAAAGGTATTTCATTTTCACAGTCCACTGAAATTTCTTCGCCCACTCAACAATATCTTCTGTTTCATTTTCTGTGATGACACACATGAGCTTTCGCCCGCGTCGTGAAATTATCCTCTTTGCTCTTCGACGCTGAAGCTCAGAAAAGATCAAGTGAAGCTTTTTGTGAATGTTTAGGGGCTGTCCATATATTACGTAAGGGAGTTTTCGCCTGTTTGTGTTCGAGCTGCAAGTTTCGGTTATAATCGACACCGAAGAGTAACGTTTTTTTTAGAAAAATAGAAAAATTAAAGCAAAAGTTGTAAAAAATTGTAATATCCTCCGTATTTAATTTATATTTTTCATTTCAATGCAATTTAGTACTTTAATTGGGTGAATTTTCGTATTTTATAAAGAACAATTTTGAATAAGAATACAAGAAAAATAATATTACGTAAGAATCTACGGGACGCCCCCTCCCCCCATATAATAAAAAGTAAGCGAATTCTAGACCCGCCCTCCCCCACAAAGGTCTTACGTAATATATGGACAGCCCCTTTTTGAGAGCAAACTTTTCGCTTATTTTCTAATTACCGGATCCGGTCCGAACTGTTAGGGAAAGAACCGAATGGAACGGGCATACATATATTTCTGTTGCAAGCATGGGTTGCCTTGTGCTCTTTTTTCACAAAAAACTTAAGAAAACCATAGTAGAAAGCGTAGCAAATTTCTTAAGAACTGCGTACTGTCTGCAGGAAATTTGACTCAAGAAAATTTCTTAGCCATTTCTTGTACGTCATTTTATATGGAGTTTTTGCTTTTCTTGAGAGCTGCATACTGGCCTGTAAACTATACGATGACCCATATGTGGGAATTATGCGAATCAAACACTTTGGTAAATTCTAAAAAATATTTTGGTAGAATAAAATGCGAAAGGTTTCTATAATAGATACGGTGACCATTCGTTCTGTTTTTTGCAGGACCGTACTGTTTTTCAAAGGTCGGTCCTGCGTAGTTTTTCAAACCTGAAAAAACCTGAAAATGTACTGATTTTTTCCAGGTGTCCTGCATTTGTCCCGCATTTTAATCGTTATTTTAAAATTATCGGACAAAGGATGGATTTTTTCAAAAAAGTGTTTTTTGGTACTTTTCGTAGCTTTTCTTCAATATCTCATGAAAAAATCTCCTAATCAAAGTAAGCGACTTACAGCTCGAAGGGTATTGATGAGCCTCTTACCAAAATATATAACTTGTGGCAACTTCAATGAAAATTATTAGTGCTACAGGCGACCATTTGTATTTTGTCGTCAAAGTCGAAAAAAGTGAGATTTTCAATCAGATACGCAGTTTTATTCGATAATTTTTTTCATTAGTTTAAAAATTCGATAAAGAAGATATATCATTACAGTAAATTTTGAGCCAAAGATAATGAAACTCAGATTAGAAATGTAGATGCCATGCAGCGCAATCTGCACAAATTATATATTTTTGTAAAGGGCACATAAATACCTTTGTAAGTCGTCGTTTACGTCGATTCATGACGTCGATTTTTGTTAAATAACTGCGAAAAGTACCAAAAAACCAAAAAAATGGTATTGTTTTCGTTTTGAACGACACAAAATTTGCCTATAAAATAATTTTTTAAAGATTTTCACTTTTCGTGAAAGCTTTTATTATAATATGTTTTACTACACTTTTATAAATATTCATGTAAAAAAAGATTAATATCGATGAAGAAAACGTGATTCATTTTCAAAGCTTAAAATGCATTAAGAATTTTGAAAATGATACAATTGAATTGATAAATACTCTTTTGATATTATTATACTACGTAAATATTTTTGAAAAATTGTCCTCCATTTTGAATGAATATTTATGGTCACCGTAATAATAGATAATAGGGGATGGGGAACTTGAGATATCTGTATAAAAGTTTTTAAAATACTTTCCAACATGTTGAAAAAACGAGTATCATCAAAAAAATGTTCCCGCATTATTATTTTGAACATGTCGTCATTAGTTTCTAAAAAGACCTTGGTATTTGTAATTGTATTTATTTTTTATCTATATTCTAGCACTTTAATGCAAATCTCTTAAGTTTACATTTAGCTAATCGTAATATAAAATTTTCTGGAGAAATAATTTCGCCATATGACTTTTTTTTTTTTTTTTTTTTTTTAATACCCCAACGGTTTTTTGTTCACAAAAAAATCAATGTAGACCTTTCCAGCGCATTTAACGAAAATATTTTGGTGGCAGTCATAAAATTTAACAAATTCTTTAATTCGTTTTAGCCTAGTAAAATTAGACTTTTTCTTAAAAAAAAAATGTAACAGCGATTTTTTGATGCAGTTTACTTCTATTTGACACGTAGATCATGGATCCACAGTCTTGCCCCTAAATTTCCTTTGGCAACAATCCGTCATCTTGCATTTAATTTTTTTTTTTTTTTTTTGCGATTTACAAGCTTATTTGCATTTTTCTTAAAAAATGGTTTAATACAAAATTGTAGAGAATTTAATTTCCCACATTTGTTATATAAAAGTGTTTTTAAAAATAACATTTTTTTGCAAAAACTGCGAACAAATTTTACATTGTCACGGTTTTCGCCATTTTTTGACAAATGTTCTATATAAAAAATGTGCAAAATTAAATTCTCTACCTATTTGTATTTAACCATTTTTTACGAAAAATGTAAAATAAGCTCGCAAATCGCAAAAAACCAAAAAAAAAAACTTAAATCCAAGATGGCGGAATGTTGCCAAATGAAATTTAAGGGCAAGACTGTGAATCCATGATCTACGTGTCAAATAGAAGTAAACTGCATCAAAAAATCACTGTTACAAATTTTTTTCAATTTTCCTACCAAATTTATCTACTTTTACTGGGCAATGAAAAATAATTTTGTCTATTTTTTTTTTCATTAAGCATATGTAGGTAGTGTAATAGCTATCAGCTATTACTACAGTGATCTGCCCTATCATAACATCAACCAAAATGGCTTTGCACACGAAGCATTCTTATCACACAGTACGGTAAATAAACGCCCATACCGACAGCATAGTTTTGCGGCCCAAATAAAAGAATTATCTATGAATCTTTGCGATTCATTCACCCGCGGCATAAACGTGTGTATACATATCTACATACAAACACAATTTAAAACATTACAATCTGAAACAAAGAATTAAATGGTATTTGAAATTAAGCAAGAAAGTTTGCATGTTGAATGTATATATGTTTGTGTCGTTTCTTTTTATAAGAACGGAGCTTTTAAATTCCAACAGGATTGAAAGAGTTTAATATGATATGACCGCAACGTATGAATGTACTACATGCCGGGTTATTTGAATGTAAAAAGCACATTTCTGGCCTACAACTGTTTTAAAGGAAAATATAATTTTTAACTTCTGACCATATTTTTTTAATATAAAATAAAATATATACATTTGTGTAAGACCCAATTAATTGGTTTTGATTAGCTTAATACGAGGAACCCTAAGATAGTACCATTAATTTGTTAAATTTATGAATATATTGAGTCTGGTAAAGTTCATTCTTCTTCCTTAATACAATTCTCAACCAATTCGCGCAAATTTGGATTCTCCATAGCGGCGGCAATGCGTTCCTTGTCGTTTATTTGCTTATTTACTGGAAGAGCGAGAAAAAAAAGATAAATACACTACGAATTGCATAGATTAAAAGTGCGCCAACGTACTTTCGTCCTCCGTTGTGTGTGCGCCTTTCTTAATGTAAATGTCCAATTTAATATTATGCGGTAAGCTGCGCTCTACTTTAACGCGAATACATAAACCGATAAGCGTGGCCAAAGAGCAGTGTGGAACAGTGGGATTGAACTCGATGCGTACCTGTAAGAGCAGCACAACTAAAGTTAAAACCAAGATTAATAAATGTACACAAAATAAGTGAAGGTATCACTCATTTGGCAAAACAGTGTCACAACTCAAAAAACGAGATTTTTTAGGAGACGCGTTTAATGCTTCCAATTTATCCTCAAAAGGAACGCGAGACTAGCACATAATTCTTACAGACTATGAAATATGATAAGTAATTTGTATCGATAGCTAAAAAAAATATGGTTTTTGAGCTGCGACAATACCTGCTTAACTAAATGAGCAATATCTATGTGATTGGCCTTTTCGTAAAAGTAGAGTTACAATTCTAGGGTGTATGTGAATGTACATACATTTGTACATTTTATGTGTACATAAATGAAATCCCAACAGCAATATTTGCGTTGCTAATTTGGAATGTCAGGCAGTCAGTATTTACACATTTACATATTTAAATTTTTGGGTTTTATTCTTTATACAGTATCATATGGCCATATCGATGGCTGAGTGCAAGACCGACCTATCTCGACAGCCAGTTCGAAAACGCCTTATCCCAGAAAACTTTTCAAGAACGCCGTTCTTCATAATTTGATTGAAGTAAGTTTCAGAATTTTATTGAAGAACGCCCTATCTCAAACGAAAAGGCATTGACAATGCGCTGAGATAGGGCGTTTTTGAACTGGCAACTGAGATAGGACGTTTTTGAACGGAATTCTGAGATAGGGCGTTTTTCAATCAAATTCTAAAAGAGGCCGTTCTTCAAACAAATTCTGAAATAGGACTTTGTTAAAAATTTATTTTTAGATAGGGCGTTGCCGAGATAGGTTGATCTTCCACTCAGCCATTGATATGCAGATGAAAAAATTTAAGCATACCACAGAAACATTTGATTTCGTTGACGGTTGCACAACTATTCCATCTTCATAGACGACATTCAAATCTTCTAGCGTACAAGGTTTCTCAGGATCGCGTATAGTCCTAAGCGCATCTGTGTGGCAAACATTTGTATGTATATAGTAATTATTAGCGAAGAAAACGAAATGTTAGTTAAACTTACCGTAGACGGTTTCTTGGAGATCGGTTGCATTTTTGTAGCCCAACTCCTGCAGCAACGCATCCTCCCCAATGGGAATGGCTTCGTTATTCAAGGACATTTGGCTAGTTTTCTGTGCAAGAATATTATCTATAGTACCGACTGCCTGGCCGTTCGCAAGCGTTGTGTTACTACCGCTTACTGAATCCGACTCTGACAGTTTCCTTCTGATGAATGATAACATAATCAATGCGAGTGAATGAACTAATACCACTTAAGCTAATGGCAAAAGTGCCACTCGGCTGTTGTTACTTCTTTCAGTTTTGTTTTAAAAGTGTTACGTCCCCAGCGCCTTATGTAATTTTAATACTGTAAAAGTTATGATCAATACAATATATCCGCTGACTTATTTACTTATATTTACCTTGGAATAGGCAATATTTCGAGACCTTTACCAACTTTTGCCTAAATTGTGGTTATTCATCAAAATATTTGTGTTTTGTGTTGTTAAATAACATCTGTTGTACCAAATGTCACAGCAAAACAAAAAAGCGATAAACAGAACAATGAATGTCAGAACAGGGATAGATCACAAAACTTCCACTGGAATGCACTACCGGACGTCACTGGAATACACTACCGGACGTCACTGGAATTCACTACCGGAAGTATAGGGTGATAAACACTGGTTTCACCCTGTTGCATTTGGTCCCAACCGATATTTGGTCCCATATAATATCCCATTCCTTGTATGGTGAGTCCTATCTCACATTCTCACCACATTCTTACATTGAGCAAAAATCCCAAACCGATTGGCGCTAGCGCAGTTAACGGTAATTTTAGTTAAAACGGTTGATAAATCATAATCGTTATTTCAGTTTACTACGTACTTGTTTCCTAAAATTTAATAAAGTTTTCAAATGGCTGCAAGGGGATGCATTTCAGCTGTCAGTAAAAGGGTTTTTTTTTTAATCTCGCAGCCTTTTTATGTTGCGTTCAATGCAAGTTCAATGAATATTTTAGTATTAAAAAAGTTTAAAACCAGGTCCATTCATATTAACTACTGTCAGGCTAGGAAGGATAGCTAATCAACATTTGCGATGTAGGATTCTCTGGAGGTTGTGGAATTGCCGTCATATTAAAAGCAAAATTTTTGTATATCCGGATATTCGAATGTCTGATTAAAAATCCGAATACATATCTAATTCAAATATTCGAATATGCGGATATCCGTGTAATATCAATAAAATGAACGGATATTAACCACATAGCTAAATTAACGGATATTAACCGAGTATAAACCGGATATCCGGGTAACAAAATAGAACCGGTCATTCTGATATTCGGATTTGTCTACATATATAAACAAATATTCGACCGGATATCCGAATACAAGAATAGTCCCAGTCCTACTTACTATAAGTTCTAGGGCCTGCCGTAGCCCGTGTGAGTTCTTCCAATGGGCTTTCCTAAGCAGTCGCTCCTCTACTCATAGATCTCCCTTGATGGAATTTCGCAGAACTTTTTAACTACCGGGTCCCGAATAAGGTGCGACTCTCAAAGAGGCACCCTTGGTCATTAGATGAAGTTAGTTTAGCGACTCGAGACCTACGCGAAGGTTAAAGCTCCTAAGG